ACCTGTGTTGGGGATCGTTCCTCTGAGAGAATGTGATACTTGGAAATAGTCTATCGCGGAGCTTGAGATGTGTTGGGTTCTATTTCTTTTTCTGTATGTGATTCTATTTGCTTCCGGGTGTATTGTTCTCAGTGGTTTTGTTAGGTTCCTTTCAAGCATTACGACATGCATTATCTGGGCTTCCGTTTGCAGCAAGGAATCGCGGTCCCTTTGTGAACAAGAGAGTCTGTCTCTAGTTGGATCTAGAGTAGTGTTCTTTTCACCTGCTAGCAACAAGTGTTTTTGTTCATCGCACATAGCTGTTAGGTTTTGAATGAAACACTGTCTCTGAAGGAAGTCGTTAGGGGTATAGGTTTTTATATTAATTGGAATGTTTCTTCTTTGTAGTTGAACTGGGCCTCTATCCATCTTCCGCTAACTCGGTCTAGTCTGCTCTCAACCATCTGAATTAGGTTGGCCGCTCTTGATTTTTGGTGCCATAGGACTGTTGTTCCTGTTGAACCTTTCTCGGAAGGGGCCCAGAGTCCAACTCGTACATGTTTTAGCCTGGTTATTATTTTGTTAATTATGACCTTGTGTTCTTGAGAATCTGACAAGTGTATTTCTTGTAGACAGACTATGTCTGGTGGATTCCTTGTAAACCAGTTAACCATATTGTCCCATTTGTCTGTGTTGGTTAATATTGATGCTAGCCCATTAACGTTCCATGAAACCACTGACAGTTAAGGCTCTTTGTGTTTGACGGAAAAGTGGTTGGACCGGCACCCCCCTTGGTCACACACTGACTGGAGTAGTGCCGTCGTGGAATGTTAAATGGGCGTTCGTGCTTTTGCTTGTTTCGTTTGCGATTTAGTTGAAAGGGGATTCATTGCAGAGAGCGTGGCGGACCTTGACCTGGCGGGCCTTTGTTTCGAGGACCTGGTTCAACTGTTCCTCCCTGCCATCAAAGATTTCGTGCCCTTCGACTATTGAGGTTGAGACTGCCGCTCTTTCTGCCGGAATTTCTCCCCCCATGAGTCCATATGGGATTGCATGTAGTACCTTTTATGGTTTCTAGACAATGTGGTCCATGAGCTGGGCTTCCATTGAGTAGCGCACCATGTAGGGTCTCAAGTCATGTAGGGTCTCAAGTCACTGACCAGGATGTCGCCTATGTCGTCCAACCATTCCTCTCTCCAATCATCCTTTGAACCTAGGATGTGTGCTGCTACTGGTGAGTCCTTGGAGATGTTGGCAGCAAGAACCTTGTTGGAAGGGCTTGACAAGGCTATGAGAGACCATGATTTGACTACAACAATCTCCCAATCCCCATGCTCCTCGTTCCAACGGTAGGGCAATACTACTCTTTTCTTGCACCCACCTTTGGCTTCCAGTTTAGCAGTTGTGAAGATCTCAACATTCTGTCCCAGGGCTAGCCCTTGTAGGTTGAACGTGCCATCGACCGTTTCTCTGTTCTGATCCACGAGGACTATGATCTGGGCATGTAAGATTTCCTTCTGTCTGTCTAGGTCTTCTCTTGTGCGCAGTTGGATATCTTCTCTTATGTTCCCTTCCACCTTGGCTGGGTTATTTGGGTTCTTTTGCTCTTTCCCTTTTGCACCCTTGGATCTCTTGCTCGGGTGGATGCTGTCTGCTTTTGTGTACGTCTTTGGCCATTGAATTGCGATCTGCGTGGTTGCAGTCTGCCTCCCTACTTTAGTCCAGTCTGTGCCAGTAGCGTTCTACGAAAAGATCCGACAGTTCCTATTCCTTTTCCAGTATTTCGTACTGGTTTTGGGTTGGAATTTGAATGGTGGGGTCAGCCTGGTTAAAGGTGAAGTTTTGCAGATTGAGGAGGTGCCTTTTGTGTGCCACTTGGATTTCGAATTCCACTTCCCTTTCTCTTTCGAGCTTCTTGACATAGTCATTGAGCCATTTAAGTAAGTTTCCCTTACTTCCTCCTTCGTGCTCACCTAGCTGTTCGTCTTGCAGGTCTGTACTTTCTCCCTTTGAGTCTTGGGACATCTTGTCGTCCTCGCCTGCCTGTTCGATGGTGTTGTCCGACTGTCCTTCCGTAGTGACTTCCTTCCCTTTTTCTCCTTCCCCTTCTTGTCCTCCTTATTCTCCTCCTCTGTTTTCTCCGTGTCCTCTTGTTCTCCTTCTTTGGTATTTGCCTCCATTTGGTCTGCTGTGGAGGTTGTCTCGTCAATTCTACTTGCCTTGTTGGTAGTTTGGCTGTTTGCTAAATGGGTTGAGGCCGTTTGCTCGACCTTTCTTTTGAGCGGTTTGCCTGTGTTCTCTGTGGAATAGGCTCCCTTTGTGCTGTTGGCTTTCTGTTCTTCCTTTTGTGTACTCTCTCTTTGTGTTTTTTTTCAGCACACAACATTTTCCCCTTGCTTGTAAGTTTTCAATGTAGGCCTTTTCCGCTGAGGTCCCTGTTTTTATGAGGTCTGCCATATGCCCTTCCTTTGTTTGTCCTCTACGAGTCCCTGTGCGTCTAGGCATTGTTTTCTTAGGAATCCGCCATCCTTGTCTGCGATTCTCTTAGAACCCTTCTTTTGCCACTGACTCCCAAAAGGCGGGTAGATGTCTGGTTGGTTTATCGGTTCGTCCACCAGCGTCCAAATCCATTTTGGTGCCTCTAGCATGTCGTCAAATACCCAACCTCTGTAGGCTGGATTGTTGACGAACCACAGTCCTGCCTTTGAGACGCATTCAACCAGATTGGCTTGGATTTGGCCCGGTTTGGCTCCTCTTTCTCTATTGAGGGGACAATTTATGTCCGTGCCCAGGTGACCTTTCCCCTGCATCTGAAACAACGGGGATTGGTTTTCGTGGAGAGAAAGACGATCAATTTTTGCCCATTTCTCCTGAAAAACCAAACATCTGGGAATTGCGGTGGGACGCCTGATGGCACCTGCAGGCATGCTATTCTTGAGTCGTGATTTGGCGCTAGGAAATTTGTTCCTGATTCAAACCATTCTATGGCTGGGTTGTTCGGATATGCCTCTGCCAACCTTCTCTCTACGAAGTTGTGCAGTCCTTCTGGGATGTTGTCGAATTGGATTCAGAAATTGCTTATCAACATTGCTTGTTTGTGTCAAGATGCATCTGGTTGAGGAGCTCTTCTGGGTTTCCAACTGGTAACTGTGATCACTCCCTTTTTGCATTTCAGACTGCTGAGGGAGATGAGAGACCTGGCGTAGGCTCTGTCTGGACAGACTATCATGACTATGTTTCTTGCCTTCTTGTGATAAGTGACTACTGGTTCCGTTCCTGGTATCTCTTCCAAAGAGCGGAGGGTATCCCTTACCGAGGTACGGTTTTCATTAGGCGACATGTCTGAGCACTTTTGTGGGAAATTGAATAGGACTGCGCGCTTTTCAAAAACCTCGTTTCAACTCGCTTCGTCTTCTTTTGGACATTCCCAAATTTCTATTGTTTGGCTCTCTCCTCCCTGCTCGGCTGGGGATGTTTCCTTGGTTATGTTAACCTTGGCTTTTACTTGTGTGTTTGAGATTAGGAATTCCATTGCCCTTTGGCTCAGAGTTTTGTGAGGTGAGTTTGACGTGTCCTGTGAAGTTTCCATTGAGTGTGCTTGTGCAACAAACTTTCCACCGTTTGATCCTTGGTGCGGTTATCTCATGTGGGTCGGTGAAGTTGGAGGCTCTGGATTGTCCTTTGGTTTAGGTGGCCTCCCGTCCTCCATGGCGAGCGCTTCAACGAAAGACTTGGCCATGGTGAGAAAGAAGCTCTGGAAGTAGGCTTTTGACCTTGGTTGTACGACTACAACTGGTCCTCTTAGGTGGCATGATTGAAAGAAAGGTCCTTGTGAAGTGGGTCGTGGCCGACATCAGGCGAGCAGGTGATTGAGGATGGGTGAACAGGAGGAAGGGTTGCCTGACGTGGTGGATACTGCTTGCTTTCTAGCGATCTGCCTGGCTAAATTTTGGCAGAGGTTCGCCTCCCTTCCTAGGAGATGGGAAGCAAGGGGTGTTGTGGGGGAATCGATTGGAAGAGGGATATCTGGATAAGAGTGTTTGCTACCTTGCTAGGGATTGGGGAGCACTTACTCTCTCCCCGTGGGGATAGGAGTTACCAGTGTACTAAGAGGACAAAATGCTTCTACTTTTGCTCTTGAGATGAAGAAGAGGACTTTTTACCAGTCGTTACAATAGCGGGTCAAATTATAGAGCTTTGCCGTCTGCCTGAGAAATTTGGTGTAAATTTCCTCCCCTTCCCCTGGGAAGTGGGGGTGCAACGGGATCAGGTGAGATGTATCGATTGGAGAGGGATCAACTGGAGGCTGTTTGTCCTGTTAATAGTTAATCGTCATTTCCCTTCCCCTTTTGGGGATGGGAATTATGGGCGAGAGAATGCGGCCAAAAATTTTCGCTCTTGCCCTTGTGACAGAGTAGGACAAGGAGACTGCAGGAGGTGTGGGACCTGCACTGGCGAGGGTTACAATGTTAGCAGCAACTAGTTCAGATCTTCCCTTCTTGATGCCATTCGACGTGGAGCCAGAGATTCTGGATTGTGATAATAATAATGGATGACAAGTAATAAAGAATTTAATAAGATTAATAATAAATGATAATAATGAAGGGATCTGTGATCATGATAATCCAAATAGGATTTATGATAATGAGTAGATCTTGAAATCAATAATGAATTTAATAGTAGTATGGTAATAAAGAATAAGAGTTCGAAAAATTGCTACGTTACCAGCTGTCCGATTGGGAGATGTCTCCCCCAGACGTCTCCGGGAGACGGTCGAGAGGGAGTTGTTCGAAAAATTGGACAACGACTTTTTTGCCACGTGGAAAGCAAAAAAAAAAAAAAAAGAAGTTGGGGGGGGGTCTGCGCACTGCCAGGGGACCCCCCCCAAAAAATATGGGGCCATTCTGAGCAAAAATAGAAAAAAAAATTGAGACAGGCTTTGGGGTGTGTGGGGGGGTGGGGTTGGGTGGTTGATTGATTGATTGATTGATTGAAAAAAGATCGGGGAGGGTCGGCGGAGTGATCGGGTGGCCAATCACTTTGGCCCCCTCACACTCCTCCTCCTCCTCCTCCTCCACCATGGTCGGGGCCTTCTCCTACTCATTCTCCTCCGTATCCTCGTCGTCTCTCCTCCTCCACCTCCTCCCCGGCTGCCACCGCCACTGCCGCCGCCTCTTCCTCCTTCGCCACTATCGGGGCCTCCACGTCCTCCTCCTCCTCCTCCTCCTCCTTCGTCATCCTCCTCTTCGTTTTTCTCCTCGTCCTTCTCCATCGCCATGGCCTCTTCCTCCCCCGCTTCCTCTTCTTCCTCCTCGTCCCGCCAATCCCTATCCCATCGTCATCTCCTCCTCCACCATCGTCGGGGCCACCTCCTCCCCCGCTGCCACCGCCGCTGCCACCGCCTGCCCCTCCTTCAACCCCGTCGAGGCCTCCTCCTCCTCCTCCTCCTCCTTCTTCGTCATCGTCCTCCTCGTCCTCTTCGTCTTTCTCATCGTCGTTCTTCATCGCCACGACCTCCTCCTCCCCCGCTTCTTCTTCTTCCTCCTCGTCCCGCCAATTGCTGTCCCCCTACTCGTCATTCTCCTCCCCATCCTCACCGAATCGATAACGTCTCCTCCTCCTCAATCAATCAATCAATCAGTCAATCGATCGAAGATCCCATCGAATCGATTGATTCGATAGGATCTTGATAAGGATCTTGACTTATCAAGATCCTATCGAATCAATCGATTCGATGGGATCTTTGATTGATTGATTGATTGAAAAAAGAGCGGGGAGGGCTGGCGGAGTGATCAGGTGACCAATCACTTCGGCCCCCTTCCACTCCTCCTCCTCCTCCTCCAACATCGCCGGGGCCTCCTACTCCTCATTCTCCTTCCCATCCTCGTCATCTCTCCTCCACCTTCCCCCCACGCTGCCACCGCTGCTGCCGCCGCCTCTTTGTCCTTCACCCCCGTCGGGGCCTCCTCCTACTCATCCTCTTCTTCTTCTCCTTCTTCCTCCTCCTCCTCCGCCTCTTCTTCTTCTTCATCCTCCTCGCCGCCGTGGCCTCCTCCTCCTCCGCTTCCTCCTCCTCCATCGTCGGGACCTGCTCCTCTTCTTCTTTCTCCTCCTCTTCTTCCTCCTCCTCTTCTTCCTCCTCCTCTTCTTCCTCATCCTCTTCCCACCTTGTCCTCCTCGTCGTCGTCGTCCTCCTCCTCCTCCGCTTCTTCTTCTTCCTCCTCTAAGTTCTCTCCCTCCTCCTCCTCCATCTTCGTGGCCTCCTCCTCCTCCACCTCTTCTTCCTCCTCCACCTCTTCTTCCTCCTCCTCCTCCTCCTCATTCTCCTCCTCGTCCTCCATCGTCGACGCCTCCTCCTCCTTCGTCGTCCTCCTCTTTGTCTTCCTCCTCGACCTTCTCCATAGCCACGGCCTCCTCCTCCCCAGATTCTTCTTCTTCCTCCCCGTCCCTCCAATCCTTGTCCCACTACTCGTCTTTTGTTTTTGTTAACGACCTCCTCTTTCCCTATTTTTTTTTTTTTTTTTTTTTTTTT